ACGATGAGATTTGGGACAGCTGGCAAATCTGCTATACTGAAAGTTTCCCAATCCAAAAGAACAGCGTGAAGTGAAGCGAAGACATCCTAAAAAAATTAAAATACCAGAAGCGTTAAGTACCCAACTGTATCAAAGCCAAAACTTTCGTTTTACTTTGCAGTTTCTGAAAAGCGAAAACGAGGGATAGGAAGTATGCGTCTGATCAGCAGCATCATCCGAACCATCGATGTAGGGATCCGATGCAAGAAATATTGACGGAATCGATCTATGTTTGTGGAAGAAACTACAGCATCAGGCTCGCGAATTCGTTCGAACAGCCTGTTACTTCCTCAGTGTTGCTTGACGTACAGGGGTGGTCGAGAAAGTTAAAATATTCTGTCCACAAAATTCCCCTTTCTCACACGATGATATCTCACATGCCGCTCATCTGATAAAGCGTTTGTTTATTATATAATCGTGAGCAGGCACTGCACCATTTGCCCCACTGTTCTGTCTGTTACCGACAGTATTACTCTTTCGCTTTCTCAAATTTAGCAACGACAAATTTCCTTATCGGCCAAGACAGATGTAACTGAGAACCATCCACGTGCAGTCTGTGCCTATCAAAGCAAGGCTTTACATTACTTCCGTTTTCGATGTGTTGTTTTTGCTGCAACCGTCACACTGATGAGGTCCAGTTGCAGCACTGAACAGGAATGTATGCGACTTAATGGACCGAAACATTCCTATTCAGTTTTTTAATCCGATTTATCTTATTCTCCCTCCTTTTAACCCTTACTTTTTACATAAACACACATCACCTAAAATTAAAATTATAATTTTCAGATCCGCTTGATCAGTCCATCTGTTGAGCCGTTGTGAAATCTCATTCAATTTTCCAGCATTATTTGCAATGAAAACGGCGCTATCCGGGAAGCATAAATAGCCTGACTGTTCGGCGGTGATCACTTTTCCAAACCAATTTTGCAAAGCAAAAAACTGGGCCGACAATCTTTGACCAAAAGGGATCTCTCTGATGCATTCCTTGCTCATTTCATACATGAAACAGAACGGCGAAATGTGTTTATGTCTACTGAATAGGCTCTTTATCCACTTCTTTAACTATTTCAACATTGTGGTGAGTACCTGCGAGAAATTTATGCTGATATTATCGCGAATTAAACTCAACACGTCTTCGCTACCATCAGAGAGTGTCACGGTTCGTGGGCATCCAGTAGCAGCAAGCGCAATGCCAACCAGTCCGCAGCCTGCGCCCAATTCCAGCACATCATTTGCACAAAAAGCTTCATGATTAAATTTCAATAAATAGTTAGCCAGATCACATGATGCCTAAAATTGGATATTTTTTTTTGCAAAGTGCCAAAGGGCTAATTTGCGTCGATGTATCATTTCTGGTGCAAGAAAGTGAACTTTCAGGAATACCTGCCAACATGAAAGACCAGTGGTTCCTTGTGAGAGATGTTCAAATTTTTCACGTACAATAAGATATCGTGAAAAATCATCATCAAAATAAATCCGATGGCAATAGGTGCTATTTCCAGCAAGAGAATCCACTAAAGCTTTATAGAGCTGCTCACAGACTTCGATATCTTGCGCTTCTAGCTGAAAAAGCACAACAATCAGAGGCACAATATCCTCCATGTGCGCTGAGTGCATCGTCGAACGTGCTAGTGATGGCACCAGGTAGTTTATGGATGCAGTGCTGCGAAATAAATGAGAAGGCTTAAAAATTTCCTTCAAATTTTTTGCAGTGATTGATATGGGCGGCCCCAGGCGGTTGTTTCAGATTGTTCCAGGTTGACAATGGTTGCTAATAGTACCAGGATTGGTATGCTGATAGTGTGGCCATGTATGTCAACGATGCGCTGACAGCTGATGCCCTATACACTAAGCTAGTTTTGCTTGGCTGATTCTGATTGTGAACTGCATATGTGCAATTAGTATCAGCCACCAACATGATTTAAGCGTACCAAGGCCGACAATTACCTCGTTCACGTTAGTCTACATTTCCCAATTTCTTTGCCCTCTTCTCTTTGCATGCTTTTTTTTTCTCTTATCTCATCTTGCGACTCGCTATATTCGTACAAACATGGTGATTAGGGGGCTGTACTGATGATTCCCACCCCTAATCACGTCTGTTACTGTCTGTG